AGAAAAGTTCTGGGGTACTATTTTTTACCATTATACAAAAGAAAACATTTCAAGACTAAAACTAAAACCAAATGACAAAAAAAAAAGAAAGAAAAAGAAAAAGAAAAAAGACTAAAAACTAAAAATGACTTGATCGCAACGTAAAGGATAGGAAATCCAGCCTGACACGGTGGCTCACACCTGTAATCCCAGCACTTTGGGAGGCCAAGGCGGGTGGATCACTTGAGGTTAGGAGTTCAAGACCAGCCTGGCCAACATGGTGATCCCCCGTCTCTACTGAAAATACAAAAGTTAGCTGGGCGTGGGCACGGTGGCAGGCGCCTGTAATCCCAGCTACTCGGGAGGCTGAAGCAGGATAATCGCTTGAACCCGGGAGGTGGAGGTTGCAGTGCGCCGAGATTGTGACATTGCACTCCAGCCTGGGTGACAGAGAGACTCTGTCAAAAAAGTAAAATAGGCCGGGCGCGGTGGTGCATGCCTGTAATCCCAGCACTTTGGGAGGCCAAGGCGGGCGGATCACGAGGTCAGGAGATCAAGACCATCCTGGCTAACACGGTGAAACCCCATCTCTATTAAAAATACAAAAAAAAATTAGCAGGGCAAGGTGGCAGGCACCTGTAGTCCCAGCTACTAGTGAGGCTGAGGCGGGAGAATGGCATGAACCTGGGAGGCGGAGCTTGCAGTAAACCGAGATAAAAAATTAGCCAGGCGTGGTGCCGCATGCCTGTAGTCCCAGTTACAGGAGAATCGCTTGAACCCAGGAGGCGGAGGTTGCAGTGAGCCAAGACCACGCCACTGCACTCCAGCCTGGGAACAGAGTGAGACTCTGTCTCAAAATAAACAAACAAATAAATAAATTAATTAATTAAAAAAAATAGGAAATCCATTTAGCTTTAAAGAAAACATAACAAAACATATATATATGTATAGTTAACTCTTCTCTCCTCTGTAGGTACAAAAAAAGGAAAGCTGAGGCTTAAAATAAGTTTGGGGAAAGCAGAACTGCCTTAGACCAACAATGTCAGGGCTGGTGATGCCCTCTTGTGGCATCCTGGAGAATTACTGCCATCTGACTTCATTTCCTCCGACTTGGAGGGACTATTCCCTCACAATACCTCAGTCACTGATTCATGCATGCCAGGCATTGTCCTAACAGTATCCCTGTCCTCGTGGAGTTTACAGTCAGGCGGAGGACATACAATTAATAAACATAATAAAGTAATGCCGTGGAAAAAAAAAAACAGAGTAAGATGGGAAGGGAGATGATGAGTATAGAGAGTCGTAGTGTGCATTGCAATTTAAAAAGAGTAGGCCTTCTTGTAGAGTTGAAGAGAGGTAGGGGAGTGAGCCATGTGGATATATGGGGTGAAGTTCTAGGCAGAGTGAACAGTCAGTACAATAGCCTTGAGACAAGAGCTTGTTTGCCTTTTTTTTTTTTTTTTTTTTGAGACAGAGTCTTGTTCTGTCGCCCAGGCTGGAGGGCAGTGGCCTGATCTCGGCTCACTCCAAGCTCTGCCTCCCTGGCTCATGCCATTCTCCTGCCTCAGCCTCCCGAGTAGCTGGGACTAGAGGCGCCCATCACCACGCCCGGCTAAATTTTTGTATTTTTAGTAGAGACGGGGTTTCACTGTGTTAGCCAGGATGGTCTCAATCTTCTGACCTCATGGTCCGCCCGCCTTGGCCTCCCAAAGTGTTGGGATTACAGGCGTGAGCCACCGTGCCCAGCCTGTTTGCCAATTGCAAAAAAAAAAAAAAAAAAAAAAAAAAACAACCGCAAGGGAGTCCATTGTGCCTGGAGCAGAGTGAAGGAGAGACAGAGGCAGAAGAGGGAAACCTGAGCACCTAGGGCCTTCATTCAGCGAAATGGGGAGCCCTGCAAGGTTTCAGCACAGTGATAAATCTGAAGCTTAAAAGGATAACCCTGGCTGTCATATTAGAACAGGTATTGACCAGGTACGGTGGTTCACGCCTGTAATCCCAGCACTTTGGGAGGCCAAGGTGGGCACATTACTTGAGCCCAGGCGTTCGAGACCACCCTGGGCAACACAGTGAAACCGGATCTCTAAAGTAATAAAATAATAATAGGCTGGGCCCGGTGGCTCATGCCTGTAATCCCAGTACTTTGGGAGGCTGAAGTGAGTGGATAATTTGAGGTCAGGAGTTCGAGACCACCTTGGCCAACATGGTGAAACCCCGTCTCTACTAAAAATACAAAAATTAGCTAGGCGTGGTGGCAGGAGCCTGTAATCCTAACTACTTGGGAGGCTGAGGCAGGAGAACTGCTTGAGTCCAGGAGGTGGTGAGTGTCAGTGAGCCTAGATCATACCACTGCACTCCAGCCTGGGTGACAGAGTGACATTTCATCTCAAAAAAAAAAAAAAAAAGAAAAGAGAAGAGGAAGAGGGAGAAAAGCAGAATAACATTGCAGAGAGATGATAGTGGCTCAGCCCAGAATATTAGCAATAGAGGTAGTGAGATATGGTTGGATTCTGGATGTATTTGGAAGATAGAGCCAACAGATCTAATAGATATGGATGCTAAAGACAGACATCAAAAAGCACTCCACTATTTTGTTTTGTTTTATAGGAAGGATGAGCTGCCATGAGTTGAATTGGGGAAAGCGGCGCGAGATTAGGAGTTCAGTTTTAGACACAATGAGGTAGAAATATTTTGCTGGAAATAGAAATGTAGGAGTCATTGGCCTATAATGATACTTAAAGTTCTGAGACAGGATGAAATCAGCAGGGTGTAAAGCAGATAAAAAAGAGACTCCAGACCAGGAGCCCTGCCTCACTCCAACTTGAATGAGACTGAATTGAAGAGGAGAAATCTTCAAAAGAAAAAACAAGACTAGGCACACTCAAGCCAGGCACAGTGGCTCATGCCTACAATCCCAGCACTTTGGGGGGCCAAGGCAGGGGATCACTTGAGCCCAGGAGTTGGAGACCACCCTGGACAACATAGTGAGACCTCATCTCTACAAAAAAAGAAAAAAAAATTAGCTGAGTGTGGTGGTGGCGCACACATGTAGCCCCAGCTACTCTGGAGGCTAAGGCATGAGAATTGCTTGAGCCTGGGAAGCAGAGGTTGCAGTGAGTCGAGATTGCACCCCTGCACTCCAGCCTGAGCAACAGAGTGAGACCCTGTCAAAAAAAAAAAGAAAAAAAAGGCTGGGTGTGGTGGCTCAGGCCTATAATCCCAGCACTTTGGGAAGCCGAGGCAGGCAGATCATGAGGTCAGGAGTTCGTGACCAGTCTGGCTAAGATGGTGAAACCCTATCTCTACTAAAAATACAAAAATTAGCTGGGCATGATAGTGCGCGCCTGTAGTCCCAGCTACTCGGGAGGCCGAGGTTGCAGTGAGCTGAGATGGTGCCACTGCACTCCAGCCTAGCGATACAGCAAGACTCTGCCTCAAAACAAAAAAACCCAAAACAACAAAAAACAAAAAAACAAAGACTATGCACACTCCAGCCCCTCCTGGAAGAACCTACCTTTTTCCAGAAATCCTCAACCCAGTCTCCGCCTACCTGCCCTAAGAACCCTTAAGATTTCCCCTTTACCAGGCCCCTCCCCCTGGGAGAAGGTGCTTGGAGCATTAGCTCCCCTTCTCCATTCCTATGATTCAAGATTTTCTTCTTGGTGACTTTGCAAGCTGGGGACCTCCGGCTAGCAATGCCCTACCAGGTCTCACTCGCCAGGTTACCTGCTGCAGGACATGGCCTTTACTTGCTGCAGGAGGCGACCCACCCACTCAGCCCAGTTGGCGGAGTCTAGTTTAAGCACTGGTTCTGGAGTTCTCATCCCATGAGCCCAAGAAGAATGAGGAGGCACTGACAATTGAAGAGTGAGCAAGGTGGGGTTTTACTGAGTGATAAAACAGCTTTTGGTGGCCGTGGGGGGTGGTCCCCCTACCTGAAAGTGGGAAAGTTCCCCTAATATGGCTGAGTCCAGTGCTTCTATGGGCTCAGAATGGGGGAAGGGCAGGCCATAGGTAGTACTGGAAAAGGCAACATTCAGTTGGTTAAAAGGCATTATTCAAAAAGAATCAATCAGGAAAGGGTAGGCAAACAGAAACAGAAGTTCTCACTCTGGATTGTGGGTTTCATCCAGGACCAGCAATCGGTCTTTCAGCCTTCAGGCTGTTTTTGGCTTGAAGGTGGGGTTTCACTGGGGACCCACCCCTATCTGCCTAGGCATTTGGCCTTCTCCTGTTGCTGTCTCCTAGATCAATGAATAAAGCTTCTGCTCTGCTTTATGGAACCTGGCCTTGTTCTGTTGGTGCAAATGGTACCAGGCAAGGAAAGGACCCATTAGGATCAAATGACCCCCTTTAATGTAACAGCCGGAGAAAAACCAGGTGGGCAGGGAGTTCTGGAGGGACCCAGGGAATGGAGGGGAGGCCCTCTATTCAGGCTATGCCCTTGAACCTTCCAGGGTGTTGGTGGCCCTTCCCTCTGGATCTGCTTTTTTTTTTTTTTTTTTTTTTTGAGAAGGAGTCTCGCCCTGTCGCCCAGGCAGGAGTGCAGTAGTGTGATCTTGGCTCACTGCAGCCTCTACCTCCTGGGTTGAAGTGATCCTCCTGCCCCAGCCTCCCGAGTAGCTGCAATTACAGGTGTGTGCCACCACACCCGGCTAATTTTTTATTTATTTTTAATTTTTTTAGTAGAGATGGAGTTTGACCATGTTGGTCAGGCTGGTCTCGAACTCCTGACCTCAGGTGATCCGCCTGCCTCAGCCTCCCAAAGTGCCAGGATTACAGGCGTGAGCCACTGTGCCTGGCCTGTTTTTGAGATGGGGTCTTGCTTTGTTGTCCATGCTGGCTTCCAACTCCCAGGCTCAAGAGATCCTCTTCCTTCAGCCTGCAGAGTAGCTAGGATTACAGGTGCAAGCCACTGTCCTAAACTTGGATGTGCTTTTTAACTTGAGGAGCACAGGCACCACCACCTGTCATCATAGCTCTCACTTGACCTCCCTCCCCCTCCACACACACAAAGAACAGACAGGTATCAAGGCTGTTTATTGACTCTTCACAGCCAGCGGTTCTCCCTCTGCCCTTCCGGGGTGCCTAATCCCCGTCTCCCCCCCTGGAGCCAAGTGGAGTGGCTCTGAGCTTGACCCCAGACGCCTTCCTCTTGCCAGGCTTCCCTGCCCCGCAGCCTTGGCCTTCCTGGTTTGCCACAGGGGTTGTTACTCCTTTGATTCCACATCCTCCTTCTCGAAGTGTGTGAGGTAGGCCATCTGAGCCGAATCATGCGAGCCATAGAGAATGTTCATGCTGTAGGAGCCGCCATGGAGGCGCAGGGCTGCAGGCAAGAAAGGCGGACGTGAGGCTGTGCTGGCGGCGCCTGTGCCCGGCTTCCTTCGTCCCACACTCACCTTTGGTAATATTGACTTTGTTGGCCGCCAAGATGTCCGCCTGAATGCTGTCTAATTTCATGTACAAGTCCTCAGCGTTGCTCTGAGGACAGGAGCAAGGGGGACCCGGCTGGGGTGCCAGGGCAGTCTGGACTTGGAGTTGGGCTTGGCAGAGGGATGTTGCAGGTGGGGGGCGAGTTGGCAGCCTGACCGAAAGGGCAGGAAAGGGAACAGGAAAGTGGCGGGTGGAGGAGCCTAGGCCAGAGCAGTCCCTCCTGCAGCTGGTGGCCAGGTCCACTCTGCATGTGGAACGCTCCAGGATGGGGACTGTGTGAAGGGGCACCACACTGTCCGAGTCGCCGTCTGAGGGCGCACTTACCAGGAAGAGCTGGTAGAGTTCCTCTCCCATGCCCTTGCGCACGTGCTCCGCTACCAACGGGAACATCTGCACGAAGCACTGCGCCGCGCGGGCGGGGCGGCGTGACTGCGGGGGCGGCGGGACTGTGGCTGCCGCAGCCCTTCCCGCCCCCTCGCTAGCCGCAGTGCGCACCTCCAGCGTGAGGCTGGCCAGCCGCTGGCTGTTGCTGTGGTCCATGTTGCCCATGGCGGCCATTAGGCCGTGCACCACGTGCAGGTACAGCAGCTCCTCGGCGATGCTCATGTCGTTGCGTGCCAGGACCCTGGGCCGGGGGATTCGGGCTGGGCCGATGCCCTGGGCTCACCCAGCGCACACCCCCGCCCACCCGGCGCACAGCGTCCTGAGCGCTCCCGGGGCCCGCGGGCAGCGCCAAACCAGGCTTGTAGCCACCCACTACCCTCTGCCCGCTTACCCGATGGCCTTGGCGGCCGCGGCCTGCTGCAAAAACATCGGCAGGCTGGGGGCGAGCTGGAGAACTGAGGGGTCTGAGGAGGGGGCGGCCGTGAGGCAGGAGACCCCCCTCCCTTGGCCCAGGCAGCCCCATCTGAGCAGGTCCCTACCACTGAGGATCTTGGCCTGCAATTTGGAGGTCTCCTTGACCGACGGTATCAGCAGCGCCACGAGGCCCTTGAGCAGCGCCTGGCGCACATCGTAACCCACGAGGTCCTTGATCAACTCGATGGCTGGGGAAGGGCAGAGGTGCTGGTGAGAGGCCCCAGGCCCCTCCACCACCGAGGAAGCAAAGAACTCCGTGAACCAAGTCGCCACTCGTCACTGTCCTCCTCTCGACCTTTTACTGACCAGGGCTGTGCAGGGCGTGGGGGAGCTGGGAAAGCGAACCTCAGTTGAAGAACAGGAGGCGGGGGCTGAAGGGGGAGGAGGAAGGGTTGTATGGTGGTCCATCTGTCGAGGCGGCCTAGGATGTCAGCGCTGGAAGCTGAGAGGCCCCACAGAGGTGGACCTTCGCCTTGGAGGAATCCAGGTTTCATGGAGGAGGGAAGTGCTGGGTCTTTATAGGAAGACAAGATGGAGAAAGACAAGGGGTGAGAGGGAGACAGAGAAAGTGGGTGAGAGACTTGTGGCAGGAAATGAGAAAGGGGAAGCAAGGTAGGCACTCCTTCTAACTATCGTCGAGCCCTCTCCACCAGGCACGGTGCCAGGCTTCCCATACAGCATCCGTGGAAGCTCTCCAGAACCAGATGAGGTTCACTTCCCCGTTTTACCTTTGCCAAAATTAGGCACAGAGAGGTAAACCACTTTGCCTAAGCTACACAGCTAGGAAATGGTGGAAGCAGAAGGAGGGGAGGATTTGGTTAGGAAGGAGAAAGGGACTAGAATTTATGGAGGGCGTTTCCTGCAGGCTTTCCTGTAGATATTTTACAGGCGTTCATTCAGTCCAGCATTCACTCAGCCTTTCGGCACGGCTGCATGTGAATACCTATCGTGCCAGGCGCGGCATTGGGTGTTGAAGATACAGACTGAATTCATTCATTCGACCAACCCTCCGTAAGCATGCACAAACAGGCAGCGATGATACGCTGACAGGTGCTGTGGAAGGAGTCAGTGGTTGGGCTGTGGGAGCACCAGAGAAAATCGGCAAGGATTGTTTTTGTAAAGAAGAGGAAGGAACCACAGAGGTAGAGGGGGCAGGAGGAGATGCTAAGGTGATGGCACACCAGCGTAAATGCTACCTTTTTTTTTTTTTTGAGACGGAGTCTGTCGCTCAGGCTGGAGTGCAGTGGCACGATCTTGGCTCACTGCAACCTCCACCTCCTGGGTTCAAGAGATTCTCCTGCCTCAGTCTCCCGAGTAGCTGGGATTACAGGCGCCCACCACCACGCCTGGCTAATTTTTTTTTGGTATTTTTAGTAGAGACAGGGTTTCACCATCTTGGCCAGGCTGGTGTTGAACTCCTGCCCTCGTGATCCACCCTCCTCGGCCTCCCAAAGTGCTGGGATTGCAGGCATGAGCCACTGCACCTGGCAGGTAAATGCTACTTTTTTTTTTTTTTTTTTTTTTTTGAGACAGAGTTTCACTCTCGTCACTCAGGCTGGAGTGCAATCCCTCACTGCAACCTCTGCCTCCCAGGTTCAAGCGATACTCCTGCCTCAGCCTCCCAAGTAGCTGGGATTACAGGCGTCTGCCACCACGCCCTGCTAATTTTTGTATTTTTAGTAGAGACAGGGTTTCACTATGTTGGCAAGGCTGGGCTTGAACTCCTGACCTCAGGTGATCCACCTGCCTCGGCCTCTCAAAGTGCTGGGATTACAGGCATGAGCCACTTCGCTGGCCTTTTTTTTTTATTATTTAAATTTTACTTTTTTTCTGAGACAAGGTCTTACTATGTTGTCCAGGCTGGTCTTGAACTCCTGGGCTCAAGCGATCCTCCTACCTCTGCCTCCTGAGGTGCAGGATTACAGGTGTGAGTCACTGTGCACCCGCCACTGCTACTCTGAACACATGTGGCGGCTACATGGAAGATAGAACTTGACTACCAGCTCAGTAGTCAAGTGCCTCTCTCTCTCCATTTACCAGTAAGATAGAGGGTTTAGGGAAAGTCCTTGTTCCCCACTCAGCTCATTTGCATCCCATAATGCAATGTAGATATGAGAATTATTACCAGGGTTATCTGCTTGAATAATAATATTTTAAAAATTTTTTTCTTTGTCAGGAGATTTTACCCAGTGAGAAATGTTTAGGACAATTTTCTAGAGTGGAAGAAAAGCTTCTGTCTGCGGGTCCAAAGGCACCGTAAGTGTAGGGGGATCAGTCAATATCAGGGACGCCAGGCACAAGAGCAGTAGCTATGCTCTAGTTTCTCTTCATAACGAATAAATCTTTCGCCTTTTACTAAAGATTTCCGTGGAGAGAAACAATTGTGAGTTTACCACCAAATTTTTTGACGTCCTGCTTAGGCAGGGCTAAATATCTAGTTTGACAAAGATAGATATCTTAATGTAGTGTTTTATGCTTGTTGGTCTTGGCATTCTGGGAGGATGGGGTGGACCTACTAAAATCTAACTTAGTGTGTTGGGGGTACCGCTAATCCTAGTTACTTGCGGTTCTGGGGTAGGTTAAGGGTTTCACTATGTTGGTCAGGCTGGTCTGGAACTCCTGACCTCAAGTGATCCACCTGCCTCAGCCTCCTAAAGTGCTGAGATTACAGGCATGAGCCACCATGCCTGGCGTGCTTTGCCTTTTGATGCTGTTAGTTGCTTCAGGATCAGCAAACGGCCTCAACTTTGAGGGCTGGCTTACCTTTTTGGGTTCTCAGCTTCCCCTGGATTTCGGTATGATAATTCTTCATTGTACTGCTCTCCAATGCTATTAATAAGACTACATTCTTTTTTTTTGGAGATATTTTAGTAGTTCCAGGAGGGATATTTGTTGAAATTGCCCAGCCCACTATGATCAGAAAGATAAGTCTTTTTTTTCCTGGAGATGGAATTTCACTCTTGTTGCCCAGGCTGGAGTGCTATGGTGCGATCTTGGCTCACCACAACCTCCGCCTCCCAGGTCAAACGATTCTCCTGCCTCAGCCTCCTGACTAGCTGGGATTACAGGCATGCACCACCATGCCCAGCTAATTTTTTGTACTTTTAGTAGAGACGGGTTTCTCCATGGTGGTCAGGCTGGTGTCTAACTCCCGATCTTAGGTGATCCACCCGCCTCGGCCTCCCAAAGTCCTGGGATTACAGGTGTGAGCCACCATGCCCGGTCCAGAAACGCTTCGTATGACCAACCAGCCACTGCCGTTGGGCTGCCTCTTTCTTCCAGGTCTTCCAGGGTAGCCCTCGCAATCCCATCTGCCCATCCTCTGCAGCCTCTGGTTGCCCAGATGTGGTCCTATTTTGGAATCAAAGGCCCAGCAACATTGTGGAGGGAAAGGGACAAGCCCCGGGAAGGTGCAAAGCACTTGAGCTTCCCTGGCTTCCCCCAAACACTCTGATCTGAATAGAATGGCAGACTGGACATCTCTGGCTGCGTGGCAGCCGCAGCCTGCACTGGCTGGTGCCTGAAAGTGTTTCTCACTTGTTCTACTATTTGGTTTCTTCCCTCTTCTTGAATTGGTGCAGCTCATTTTTTTGGAGCCTGGCCCCTCATGCATCTGATGACACTTGGCTTTGTTGCCTGCAGCACATCCCTCATTAGTAGTTGGGCTCTTTCCAGGCACAAGCTGGCAGCATGTAATGCCAGGACATCCTGGGCAAAATGTCTGCCTATGCCTAAGAGCTCTTCCTGCAGCGAGACATGACTTGGTGGACATTCAGGGTAGAAACGAATGGGTGAAGATATTTTTATGAAAATTTCCTGACCACAAATAGCATTTTCTGCCCATGTAGAACCAAATACTCCAGAAGACAAACGTCTAGTTCTGACTATTCACTTTACACTAAATGCTTAATCTTTTGCTAATTGTGTATTTGTAACACTTGGAGCTACTTGGAAAAATGAAGATTTATTCACTGAATCGTTTTTGACTGAGTTTTAAAATTCACAGCTGTCACTGTTTATACCCAAAGTGAAAGTACTGGTCTCTGCCCAAATGTCTTCACAGGAACCACAGCCAGTTACAACTCTTCATCTATCATGGCAGTTACTACGAAGGGCAATTCCTTCAGAAAGCAAAGGACAACAAAAGACTATCTTTGGCAGCTTTGCCTAAAGCCTGTGGTGCTGATAACACCCAAATGTCCTAAAGCTGAGCAATCACTGATTTATTCATTGATTCATTCATTTAACAAAATTCTCATTGAGCATCTTGTCTGTGCCAGGCCTCTGGGCTTGGGCTATGAAGAGGACTAAGATCTAATCACTGGCCTTAGGGACATCACAGCTGAGTGGGGGACACCAATAGGGAGACTGGCATTTATGATGCAGTGTTATCAGGGCCATGGGAACACAAAGGAAGCCAGGCTGGTTGATGGAGTGGAGATGATAGGGGATGGAGAATCAGGAGAAGGATTCCTTGGAGAAGGTGATGCTTGAATTGGCAAAACCATGGGGAGAAGGGAGGGGCTGGAATGTAGAATGTGGCAAGTGCTATGTTGGATAGTGCCATGTCACACTTGTGGCCAGGCAAGGGAGATCTGGTTGAGAAACAGGGATGCTGGGCCATGCATCACAGCTAAGCCTGTGGAGGTGGGCCAGCTCCATCTTCTGAGTGGCTTTGCATGTGCCAACAACCCAATACAGCAGGTATTTTTCTCATCTTTCATTTCAGAGAAAAGGAAGGCTCAAAAAAGTTGGGTAGCTCGCCCAGGATGAGATAGCTAATAAGAATAGTTTTGATTGCAGGCCAGGCGCGGTGGCTCATGCCTGTAATCCCAGCACTTTGGGAGGCTGAGGCGGGTGGATCACGAGGTCAGGAGTTCAAGACCAGCCTGGCCAAGATGGTGAAACCCCGTCTCTACTAAAACTACAAAAATGAGCCAGGTGCAGTGTCAGGTGCCTGTAATCCCAGCTACTTGGGAGGCTGAGGCAGGAGAATCTCTTGAACCCAGGCGGCAGAGATTGCAGTGAGCCGAGACTGCATCACTGCACTCCAGTCAAGGTGACAGAGTGAGACACCATCTCAAAAAAAAAAAAAAAAAAAAAAAAAAAGTTCTGATTCCAAAGCCCACATTCTTCACTAAGCTCTACTGCCTCCACTCTGGTGGTGGACTAGGAAAATGAACCATGT